GGAACTGGCGCGACCACCGCGTGCCCACGTGGCGCGTGACCGTGGCGGCTGCCACGTGGCTTCTCCGCACTCGTGGGACTGGAGCTGCTGAGCCCCACACACGCACACTGCACACACGCCGTCTGCTTCTAAGTATTGTGAACGGGTTGGGTAACTTTGGCCACGCACCAGGCCACCAGTCTCAAGTCGACAACCACTCCCTGCTCACATGCGAATATGTCAATTCCACATTCCGGTGGACGAGAGCGGTCCGTCCACGGCACGAGGAGCGCCATACAGGTGGATGGAGCATCGGGTATCTGCCACGCACTGTTGATCTTCTTGTGCAAACGTTTACTCAGCGATGGGGCCTTGCGAACTGCAAGCAGAGCAACTGCGACCGCCCGTGGTGGTAACCAGGGCTTACGTTTTCACTGAATATTTGTCCAGAGCCGCTGCTGGACTTGAATAGCCACACGGCTCTGTATCCACACACACACACGTGCTGAGGGGTATACTGGACGCAGTGTGCCGGATGCGGACCGCGGGTTTTCCGGGTCACTGACCCGGACAGACCCGGCTGAAATTGATCCCTGGTTGTAATTAATTGTGACACTCTAATACTATTTATTTTACCAGGTAAGGCCCACGGAGCGATATCGCTCTTTTTCATAGACGGCCTGGCCACAAGTGATGGCGGCACGAAGTGGCTTATCACGTGGGAATTCACAGCAGCCGAATACGCGAGAGACGCGTGTTTATAGATGCGGAGGGGAAACCCGGAGCAGCACGGTGAGAGCATGGACATCACAGATACACAGCAGGCGTCAGGGTCGGGATCGAACCACGACCTTTGTACGAGGCGAGGCAGTTAACATCTCGCAGCAGGCTTGGCGCGGTGACGATGCTGTATATGTTGGGTTGCTTTGGCTCCGGGCGTTCTCGTTCTCGTGGCGCGTGGCGCTCACAGTGCAGCGAGGCGGGACGTGATTCACGCGAGCCACAGCCGGCCGTGGGTTCACAGCAGGAGGGCGATGCTGTTGCTGTGTTGGTCCAGCATGTGCTGCTGCGTGTGCTGTGTTGTCTGCTGTGTCTGCTGCTGGGTGCTGTGTGCGCTGTGTTGTGTGCTGCTGCGTTGTGTGCTGTGTTGTGTGCTGCTGTGTTGTGTGCTGCTGTGTGCTGTGTGCGCTGTGTTGTGTGCTGTGTTGTGTGCTGTGTGTGCTGCTGTGTTGTGTGCTGTGTGTGTTGTGTGCGCTGTGTTGTGTGCTGTATGTGCTGTGTGTGTTGCTGTGTGCGCTGTGTTGTGTGCTGCTGTGTTGTGCCATGCTGTGTGTGCTGCTGTGTGCTGCTGTGTTGTGTGCTGTGTGTGCTGCTGTGTGTGCGTGCTCCTGATTTGGTGATTCATTTGCGGTGTAATTTTTTAATAGTCGTGGAGTCCCGAATTAATGCGGGTCATTGGTGCTTACCAACTTCTTATTGGGTCAAAGTGATTTGTCTACCACGCCGTTGTTCCTTAACACAGTGTTCAGTGGCTGTGAAAACAGAGATAATTGCATGATACGTTCCATTCATTGGCTACCACATTCTGATGAGCCCCCCCCCCCTCTCCTCCCCCTCAACTTGCTTTTTAAGGGATTACATCTTGAATCATTGCCTCACTTGATGCAGCTAATCCGGCTGTGACGGTCCCACCTGATGACGGAGACTTGTGTTGCCTCCGAAACGTCGTGATTTATTATTTTATTTTATTTTTTATTAATTTTGATGTTTTACTTACGTGACTTTACCGAAAAAACCTAAGAATATAAAAGAAGAGGACGTGGATTGGAGATCAGACCGCATGTGAATGCTATCGTCGCGGCCAGAAGGGACACGACGGTCGATGGGCTGTGAGGCTCAGGACGCGGGTGTCAACCAAGGAATGGAACGCGCCCCAGAGTCCCTCCGCGCCACCTCGGAGATGGAGCCATGAAATGAGGTCGTGTGCAGGCGCCGGGTGGATTGTTACCGGTTTCTACTTCTCTGGGCCTCATCATATCTGCCCAGCGCATTGCAGTGCCGTGTTACTGCTGCGACTGGGGCCACATCACGGCGTCGACGGAGGGCTCTGGACTGTGACACCCGGCAACCAAGCAGTCGTCGGCATTTAAGAGGCCTTGCTCTGCTGATGAACCCCAGATTAATCGATACCGGTCCAGAGTTTGGCCGATTAAACAAACACGTGCTGCAATAAAAACATACCCCCCCCCAGGCTGCTGATGCAAATGTCTTGTTGTTGTACTCCCACAATACACCAGGACAGCGCGTAACACGTGTTACCACAGCAAGGACGATCACGTGACAAGCCATTCATCAATCAGACATGCTCTACACACTGCTGGATGAAGGCCTTCATGAAAACGTTGGCAATTTTTGAATTACGTTGAACCATGGAAATTGTCAGCAGCGTTGGCAGCTTTTCGTGTTTCACTGCTTTGAACCAGTGGAAATTCCACATCCCTCTGGGTGAGCACGTCGTTCATTACGGTAATATCGTGAACTCCTGGCAGTTGCAGATATTGATTATACCTGCCCCCTTTGTCAAGGGAATTCTCTGGATATTTGGCCAATTTCAATGCCCAGGTTTGGTCTACAGTGGGAAAGGTGGAACCCCTCAGGACTATCGCCCGCCACGTCGCCTTCTGTGTATTTTAAGGGCAGTAATTAGTGAATGTCTTGATATTACACAGCATTCTCAACGCAGTACAGTATTACTAAATGTTCGTCAATCCTCTGCTGACGGCCTCCCATATCCGTAGCAACCCTCACGACCCTGCCACGCCATACTTCACCTCCCTGGCCACGTGGCCACTACTGTATGTTAAACTTCTTTCGCACCGTACGTAGCCAATCGTGCCCATCGGGGAGTGCGGGGTGAGGACAACAAACTAAACACAAAAATAAATTCGCCTTTTGGCGTCCTCTGGTCTAACACAGCTGAGACAAGGCCATGCAGAAGGCTGTCATTATGGTGTAGCCCAGTTTCAGAGGCAATGCGTGTACAGTATTATATATCAGAGCACGTGTATTGGCACGTTGTGCCACAACTATGTGGCTCGTGCCATGCGAGAGCTTCATCTATTTGGTGTTTGAACACCTTCACACCTCTCTACTCTTTGGTTCACGTCGCTATAAAATCAAACAAAACCCACGTGACTTTACCGAAATAACCAAAAAGTATGGATTTCTGCAGTCACGAAAGCTTCAAATCGAGGTCTTCACACCTTAGTGTTCTAAATGAACGCGTTTACAATTTAGAAGATGAAAACAACAGTTGGGTTGTCCTTTGGACGTACTCGCCCCCCACCATCGGAATGTGGAATTTCCACCCGAGTCTGGACTGCAGAGCTGAACCACCACCCCACGCCCCCTACAGCTGCCGCTGTTGTTATGGGCGAGAGGTGACGTCACCCTTCTGCCATTGGTTCCCCGCGGGACACGCCTCCCCCACCGCGGCTCCCGCTCAGCCAATAGCCGCGCGGTGTCTCCGATCACGTGGGCCCCCTTCCATGGGGCGTTTCATCGCGCGCTGTCGCTAGTCACGTGGTTAAGGAAGCGGGGAGGGGGGGTAGCGCCCAGGGTGGAGAACGGGGGGAGGGGCCGCGGGGGATTTGAGTGGGCGCGCGCTGCCTCCGGTCACGTGGGGCTGAGGGGGGGGGACAAAGACGAAGATCCCCCGTGTAGCCTCGGCAGGCTGTTGGGGCAAGTGCTGCTACTCGCTCCCCATGAAGGCTGGCACTGTGGCACACGAGGGGGTGGGTGGCCAGCACCACGCCCGGCCGCCTTTGTCTCCCCAGTGGCGATTTTTACGAATCGTACCAGGCGCTCGTTTGAGACCGAGTCGTAGTCGAGGAGCCTCAGGACCGATTCAGATCATCGTCATTGATGGTGGCCGTGAGCGCGAATCGAACTTGGGCGGCTTGGTTCGGAGCCTGCATTCAAGCCACGAACAGAAATGGATTCTAACGATTCCAATTAAAACGATTCGTGAGTCGATTCCTGTCTGTTGCGTCGCATGCAAAGTCGATTCACACCAACAACGTCGCTGTTGTGTTTGTGAATCTGTGAAAACTGTAACCAAACATCGCCACGTGAGTGTGTGAGGGATATTTAACTCCGTGCGTGTGACCTGCTGTGACGCGTAGACGAAGAGACATGGGGGCATTGACTATGAACATGAAGCCAAATCTGAAAAGTCCTCAAAGAATCACGGCGAGTGACATTGCGTCCCATCTCGCTGAGATGGAAGGAGGAACGCATCGACGAGAGAACGTACGCAGGGATTCTTATTCTTGGATCTTTCGGTAAAGTCACGTAGAAGGGAAATCATCAAATTATAAAAATAAAACAATTTTATTTTTATTTCCCTTCAACGTGACTTTACCGAAAGATCCAAGAATATGAATCCCTGCAGCCACGAAAGCTTGAAATCGAAATGTAACGCACGCAGGTTTGCATCCACGAGTGGGCTCGGGCAGGCCACGTGGCGGCGAGAAGGAGCGATGGTCGAGACTGGTAGCGGAGTGGCAGCTAAAGGTTGGCAAATGCGCCCGAGAAGACGTCCGTCGCAGAGATGGAGCGGCAGAGTGAGCTCGTGTGCTGGCAGGATTATGACATCGCTCGCTGGATCGTGAGAGATTGCGGCGGGGGATGGGTGGTGGCTTCATCCAGCAATGGATTGACCCTGTGGCTGCTGATTCCAAAGTACATTAAATACAGCGCCATAAATGTTTATGTACAAAACAATGGTAAACTTCTACATCGATCCATTGGTGGAATCGTTGCAATTGGATCGATTCTACGATCGTTTGGCATCCCTCTGCCCGGTAACTGTGACGCGAGGGGGGCGGGGCCCACGTGTCACCCACGCCCCGCCCCCTCGCCCCCGCCCCCTCGCCCCCGCCCCGCCCCTCACCCACGCCCCGCCCCCTCACCCCCGCTATATAAAAGGCGCCCCCCGCGTCCTCTCCACACAGTCCCTGGTCCTGCTTAGTTGTAGTTACTTTACCTCACAACCAACATTAAACTAACAAAACACAACATAACAAACATCAAACGCACACTTTTTTTCGCTTCACGCTGTCATTAATTGCAACCGAATCGTTGTAGATTCGAAATCTCGAACGTTTTTTTTAAAGTAATTATTTGTATTATCAACATCACCTCTTCTGCTGCTGCTGCTGTTATTGTTCCGAGGCGATTGAATAGGGAAAAAAAAGAGGCGCTCGCCACTGTAAGTTACTGAGGAAATCTTTGGGCAATTTATGTAATTACAATTAGTTGCGTGGGGCCGTGGAGAAGTCGTGTTGTTGTTGATGGTGGTGGTGTTGTTGATGGTGGTGGTGGTGCTGGTGCTGTGGCTTTGCTTTCCAGAGACTTCGTCTCCGTCTCTGTCCCCCTGGTCGTGGTGCGGCGCGAGGGGCATCGCCACCGCCGAGCCGAGCCGAGCCATGGCCGCCGAGACCCTGGAGGCCCGGCCCGCGGGCAGACTCGCCCCGGGAGGTGGGGGTCAAACACAACAACAACAACAACACAACCACAACAACAACAACCACAACCACACAAAGTGTCATACACAACGAGCGACGCGAGAATGAGCAACACGGACGCGTAGTGCATCATCATAGAGGGAGAGCCCGAGGGTGATTAACACGCAAAGCAGTCGACATAAAGCGACACAAGATGTGACACACACCACGGTGGAACGACATGGCGACACGGCTTTGTTACACTCGCCCCGGAAGATGGGCTGCTGATTTATGCATAAAAACACAACAATACATTAACACAACAACAACGTACTTGTGTAAACATAACGCCACTGCCATGCTGCATTGTGTACACAACAGTAACACGCCAAGTGGCGTAATAACACAATTCCAAAAGCACAACAAAGTAACAACGCTCGAGTGAGCTTGCCCGCGGACGCGCTCGCTCCGGGAGACGACCGGGGAGTGATTTGTGCGCGACGCGAGACCGCCGCCACAGTCGAGCAGGGATAGACTGAGCGAGTGCAGTACACAAGTCACACACAGGCTGAACAACAACAACAACAATAGCGTACACACGAGCAGTGGCGGTGACGTAAACAACAGCGCCACACATCCTCAACACTGCGTAACAACACTTCACCATGCACACAACAACACTACAGCAACACTACAGCACACACAACAACACTACAGCACACACACAGCAACACTACAGCACACAGCAACACTACAGCATGCACACAACAACACTGCACAGTAAACAACACTACAGCATGCACACAACAACACTACAGCACACAGCAACACTTCACCATGCACACAACAACATTGCACAGTAAACAACACTACAGCACACACAACAACACTACAGCACACACACAGCAACACTACAGCACACACACAACACTACAGCACACACACAACACTACAGCACACACACAACAACACTACAGCACACACACAACAACACTACAGCACACACAGCAACACTACAGCACACACACAACAACACTACAGCACACACACAACAACACTACAGCACACACACAACAACACTACAGCACACACACAACAACACTACAGCACACACACAGCAACACTACAGCACACACACAACAACACTACAGCACACACACACAACACTACAGCACACACACAACAACACTACAGCACACACACAGCAACACTACAGCACACACACAACACTACAGCACACACACACAACACTACAGCACACACACAACAACACTACAGCACACACACAACAACACTACAGCACACACAGCAACACTACAGCACACACACAACAACACTACAGCACACACACAACAACACTACAGCACACACACAACAACACTACAGCACACACACAACAACACTACAGCACACACACAACAACACTACAGCACACACACAGCAACACTACAGCACACACACAACAACACTACAGCATACACACACAACACTACAGCACACACACAGCAACACTACAGCAACACGACACTGCACCATATACGCAACACTACAGCATACACACACAATAACACTACAGCACGCACACAACAACACGACAGCACGCACACAGCAACACAACACAACACGACACTGCACCATATACGCAACACTACACTCTCCACAGTAAACAACACAATAGCGTCTACATAACGCCACGCCATTCCACAGCACTGCACATAAACAACACTACGCAGCACTGCACAATAAACAACACTACGCAGCACTGCACATAAACAACACTACGCAGCACTGCACAATAAACAACACTACGCAGCACTGCACAATAAACAACACTACGCAGCACTGCACAATAAACAACACTACGCAGCACTGCACATAAACAACACTACGCAGCACTACACAATAAACAACACTACGCAGCACTGCAAAATATACAACACAACGCAGCACTGCACAATAAACAACACTACGCAGCACTGCACAATAAACAACACAACGCAGCACTGCACAATAAACAACACGACGCAGCACGGCACAATAAACAACACTAGGCAGCACTGCACAATAAACAACACTACGCAGCACTGCACATAAACAACACTACGCAGCACTGCACATAAACAACACTACGCAGCACTGCACAATAAACAACACTACGCAGCACTGCACAATAAACAACACTACGCAGCACTGCACAATAAACAACACTACGCAGCACTGCACAATAAACAACACTACGCAGCACTGCACAATAAACAACACTACGCAGCACTGCACAATAAACAACACTACGCAGCACTGCACAATAAACAACACTGCGCAGCATTGCACAATAACCAACACTGCGCAGCACTGCACAATAAACAACACTACGCAGCACTGCGCAATAAACAACACTGCGCAGCACTGCACAATAAACAACACTGCGCAGCACGGCACAATAAACAACACTACGCAGCACTGCACAATAAACAACACTACGCAGCACTGCACAATAAACAACACTGCGCAGCACTGCACAATAAACACCACCCAGCGCAGCACGGCACAACAATCGACACAACGCAAACCACCACAACCCCGAACCACACACGAGTGTACAGTAACATACAACAGGCAAGCGCCTCAAGAGGACGGTACGGGGGAGACGCACGGACACAATGGGACTCTGTTGCGACGCAGTGATGTCATGCCACAGCATACGAGCTGACAACGTGGACACGACGTGGACACGACGGGGTGTAACACAGTGCGTCTGAGCTCGGCACGATAGCAGCCCTGTGACATAGCAGGCACGCAACAGCCTCGACAACTGCGGGGCGATAAGCGGTAGCACTGACGCGGTTACGGGACGACGACGCAGTGGGACAACGGCAGACACAGAACACTGCTGCAGGAACACGACAACTCACTCGGTAACCAGATGAGATTAGAGTTACAATGCAGCAACAGCAGCAGCAGCGAGACGCCCGGTAGCACTGTGTCAGCACGATACCAACTCGTAGCACAATTCGACACGGCGACACAATGCAGCTGAACGACAATACAATATTAGAACAAGTATCTGCTGTGAATTCGACGTTGCTTAACGCCGTGACCCCCTTTGCAAGTGGGGAAAGAAAACCCCCTTGATATTAATCGATTAAAAATCGTTAACAATGGCAAAGTACCGTATGCACAGTATTCTCTTAATACGCATTTTAACGCAAATCTTTGTTTTAAGATGCATTAAAATTACACGAGGATTAGTTGGGTATAACTTTCGAAGGCAATTTAACATTTTAAGCGAGTGCTTCAGGATTGGGGGTGAGCTGAATGCGGCTTGAGCCGTCACCGCGGCTCGCGATGTGCGCACTTTGGTGTCATCACGGCCCGCTTCGTCCGAACTTGTGCTACGATTTCGTGTTTGTGAAACGTTTGCACGCTTTTACATGTGTTGCCTGCGTGTGTGTGTGTGTTAGCTGCTGTGTATTTGAGTCGCTTCGCCTGTGTGGGTTGCTCGGACCGGTTCACCGAGGTCTCTCTCCCTTGTTATGCTGTACAGACGTGTAACGTCTCAACCTGCTCCCGTCGTCAGGCTGTATTTGAGTGCAACATTTCAGCCCGGTTCTGGAACTCAGTGGGATCGGCTTGGCCAGGATGTGTGGAAACTAACTCGTCAGTTTACATTTCAAGCGAGTTCCTGCTCAAATCGTAATCGAGGTCGTGCTCATTTCCTATCCCTAGCCCTATTCATAGCCCTGGTGGAAATGCCCGATTTTTATGGGTGAGGGCGAGTCTATGCACAGGACAACCCACTGTTCACGTCCGAACAAAGTGGTACTATTCTATCGACCCCGAAGGAAAGGATGATGGGCTGAGTCCAATCTCAGGATTTGACCTCGCAACCTTGGATGTCTGCGAGCGCTCGCCCCGTCGCAGGAGGCAGCAAGCCCCCCCGGGGGTAACCAGCCTGCGAGTCCGAGGGGGTGGAGGGGACGCGTGTCTGTGTGCGCGCGTGTGTGTGTGCAAAACAACAACAACAAAGGGGCCGAGCCTGACGCAAGGCCTGGCTGCCCCCTCGCGGCCCAGTTGTTTACGGGAGACGTCACTCGCCCGCCCCTCGGTGTGGTGGAGGGGTGGAGGGGGGTGAGCTGCGTAGGCATGGGGGGCCCAGCGTGCCGGAGCGCGCGGGGCCTGCTGACAATGACACGTATTTACTTACTAGGCAGGACGGCCCCAGCCTTCGGGCGCCTATTGAGGAGCAGGGTAAACTGGGGGTGCTGCTGGACCGCGCGAGGCAGCAGTGTTTGCTTGGTGTGGGTAGGAGGACACCGGGGCACCAATCGGTGTACGAGTGGATCTCTCGCCAGCGTCTGCGCACCGCGGCGGTCCCGCCAACGCTGGCGGGCGGTCGTGCACAAATAGCGTTGCACTAAATCAGTCGCCCAGAGCCTCACCCCACCGCTAATCCGATCCCCTACTACACCCATAATATCCTGTAACCCCCTCGCCTAATACTTAACCCCCTAAATATGTTTATAACTCCATCCCCTAACTCTCTAACCTCGTCCCTTAACCCGATTCCTTACCGAATCTCTAACCTAACCCCCTAACTCCATAACCTTGTCCAGAAACTATCCCCAACCCTAACCAGATATCCCTAACACAAACCGCCATCCCCTTCTATCCGCTAAATCCAACCCAGTCTGTCCCTTTGTGCCCTCCACGTGTTTATATCTACGCAAGCACGAACACACACGAACACACACGCACGCACAGTCAGTTGGATCCGGTTCGAGTCGCTGTGCGTGAGCTGCTGCTGGCTTCTAACGAGCACGGTGATTACTTTGCCCTATTTACAAACATTTTGTTAATACCACCCTGAGCAAGGACAGTTTTAAATATGGTTCTATACGTGCAGATTTTACTACTTAAATCATATTGACCTAACACCGCTTCACCGTATCTCGATCAAGATAACAAACCATGTTTGTCGTTCTGCTTATAGCCCTGGAACCAAAAGCAGAACTTCTAGCAAATGACAATAAAATAGCTGTACAAATCCCCTCCTCTCAGAAACTCGAGTTGGTGTGTTTGTAAGGTGCATAACCTTGGCCTCGAGATGGGGGGTGATCTTGCCTGGGACGGTAGCTGACAGACGGCTTTTTTCACGTAAATTCTTACCACACGCTGATTGTTTCGTTGAAAGATGTTCGTCTTTGTCACTGTAATCGTCATCATAATTGTAAGATTGATGCATTTAGAGATGTATTTATTATTATATACTACTGCTACGCCAGGTCACTTGCATAAACGTGAAACACAGAATGCACCTGAGCGGTTTGGATCTCGACAGCTAAGCAGGTTCGAGCCTGCGCAGCGTTCACCTGAGCAGCGACCTTTCATCAAACACATGCCGCCACGGGCTGCTGTTGCTGCAGGACTAAATGTCAGCAACCAGATGCATTGTTGCGCTGTACAGTACTTCTATGCTCTCGTGTCTCTGCTTCCTGCTTTCAACCCATGCTGACCAGGGTGGTGAAGTATAGCCACCTTAACCCCCACGATCCTCATGGAATGGGGATTAGCCCCCAGGCAGCAGTTGATGTCCAATACAGCTCTTCATGGACACGTGCCGCTGCTGATGTATCGAAATATGTTCATCATGCTCGATTATTGATACAATGAATGGTGCATTATCATGCTATTGATCTGTCAAAGATGTGCATTATTCATTCCACTTGCAACTCGATAACTAAACGTAGTACTGTGGCGTGTGTTTGTGCACCGTGCTGGTCGCGACACGGCAGAGGCCGTTTCGTGTTGGATAAGAATTTGCCTGCGATGGTGATTGTTGGACGTGTCGAGACGTCTCTCTGTTGCCGTTGTTGGGTTTTGTGGGCTGCCCATGGCCCCCGCCACGCAAAGAACTTGAGATCACTGGGCCCTGCAGGAGCCCCCTGTCGCTCGAGATAACAGGGATTGGTTTGAGCGTAACAGTTCTGAGTAGCTGGCAAATGGGCTGACGTGGGTGGGGGAGCGGGGGTGCGCACGACGCCGGCTGCACCAATAGGAGGATGGGCTCTGAGCGATGTTTACCAGCCCGCTCACGAGTCTAATAAGGATCGATTCCTGAACTCAAACTAGATTGGATTCCTGAATCGATTCTTTGAATTATTTTGTACTGTCTTACGTGGATTGTACTTTTGTTTTTTTTGGCAATCTACCGTCGTGTGCTGTATAATTAGTCTTCGCCGTTTGTCTTAAACTCTGTCTCATTTGTACTATTTTTTGTTGAGACCCTCTGTGCTGTTACATTTTATCATGTAACAGTACAGAGGGTATTTTAATACTTCCACCTCTTGTGTGTATTCCCATCTCCAGCACCTTGCCTGCACCGTCTTCCTCGTTTGTACCATCTGATTAAATCTTTGTGCCCATTAGCCTAAGGAAACATTTGAAAAAACAGTCAAACCTCACACCAAATTGAATGCACGAGTCCAGACTTGCCCATTGTTTACTAGGCCCGTGTGGTGCCTGTTCGGGTTCCGTGCTGCGTGGGGAGGGAAGGGCGGAGGCACAGGGAGGAGGAGGCGTGTGGAGCCTGATGCTTGTGGAATCCTCCACAAAAGCACTGCTTCGTGTAAGGGGGGTGAGCAGTCGACAGGCTTTGTATCCCCTGCCGTTCACGGTGTTTACCAGAATTATTAGTTCCCATTGCGAGGTTCCACGGTGAATGATGGTGTTATTGTCCCAATCCTGCACTGGTTGGTTGTGACGAGTTTTACTTGCACAGGATCGCTGTGTGGTTGCGTAATGTTGATGTAAACAATATTGGGCGTAGCATTGGCATGCACCATAGAAACCCAGCAATGCTGAAGTAGCAGTATTGGTAATTATCAACAACTACTTAATGGTACTCTCTGGTTCTTTCGGTAAAGTCACGTAGATAGAAACAATAACGAAAGAGAACACGACGTTTCGGTCGCAACACAAGCGGCCGTCACCTTATTATTTTCTATCTACGTGACTTTACCGAAAGAACCAGAGTATGAATTCCTGCAGTCACGAAAGCTTCAAATCAAGATACTTAATGGTAGTTAGTAATAGTGTAGTATGTCTACTCAGGAAATCCTACCTGAGTCATTAACACTTTTTCAGGAGGGTGCTGCTACATTATGTTTTGCCACTTCCATTAACGGTGACATTTTGGCTTCGAGTGTGAGTTATTGATTGGACTTGGTTATCGAAAATTTGATGATATTGGATATCGTCGTAGACAAAATCAAATACTGATGTAAGAGTGTAGAAAACGTCAGTCATGATTACTGTTGTTACATTGTTTTTATAGCGTTATTTTGTTGATTTCGAAAACATATGGGTAATCTAAATTGTATTATGGTTGTTATTGTTTGACTTGCATCGCACTGCGATTTTTGCACACAGCGGTGTTTTTTATTGGAAGATTTGCTGCTTTATCCAGGATGTTTCTGTTGCACGTCGTCGCTTTAAGATGTTCTCCGTTCGTATTTAGTTTGTTGCAGTTGCACCCGACTCAAGAGCCGCATGGCTCACAAGGCTCTACGTAATACTCTTAGGTTTTTTAGGTAAAGTCACGTAGGTAAAAATAAATAATACAAATAATAATATTAATAAAATAATAAATCACGACGTTTCGGAGGCAACACAAGTCTCCGTCATCAGGTGGGACCGTCACAGCTAAATTTACTGTATTAGGCTTCAAATCTAGAACTATACCTAATACATGAAACTTGAAAACTTGATGTGGCTGGAGAGCTACAAGAGATGGCATGCTCACATCGGGTTTGAAGTTCACCTGAGCTGACCTAATCATTTTTGTGATATTACGCTGGCAGTGGTGCATACGCACAAACAACAAAAAAACTCAACATGTCCGTCAATACCACTTCCCTATATAGAAAATAAACATGCCATATGCCCCGTTTCATTTTGGGAGGAAATTATCATAAGTGGTTTTGCTTCTTCTCGGGGTCAGCTGCTTGGATTTTCTTTCCACGTTCCTCTATTCTTTGCTCCGTCTCTCGTCACATCTGCTGTGCTCATCTCCCACCACATCCTTAGCTGGATCTTCTTGAGCCAATTAAAGTTAAAGCTCTTCCAAAGTCCTGGGTCTGATGCCTCGGTGTCATGTATAGTGGAGAACTGACTCTGCTGGCCCAGGAACAGGGGACAGCACCGAAGCGCAGGTCCATGTGTTCATTCCCACACCGCATCTCCCTGCCTCCGCGTGCCCCCCCAGGTTACGGAGGCTACGATACATAAAAATAACATGTCCACACCTCCCTTCAACCACGGTGTCAGGCATTTTTTTCATGTTGGAAATCAGTGTTTTGTGTGAGTGAGGTATGTGTTTCATGTGTATTTTATCAACGCAACGTGGCCGAACTGTAACCGTGTCGCAGCCTGCGGCCCCCCCCCCCCCCCCCCCCCCCCCCCACCGTTGTATTGAGAACCATTACCCTAACCACTAATCCCATCTTCCCTTGCTCTTTGTAGTTGGTGGTTTTGGGGGTCAAAAAGTGATCTTTCAAAGTTACTTTTGAACATAGTTTAATATCTACTTGAGTTAAGTCGACTAATCAAATTTAAGAGTGTGTTTTGTAGTTTTCCATCGTCTGTTTTTAAACACTGATGGAGCGGTGGCGCAGTGGTTTGGCACACTGCGTTATGATCCCAGCCGCCTGAGTTTGATTACTGGCTATGCCGAACAACATTGGCGAGTAATACGTTAATCTGTCCCTGCACCTTACCCCCTATTTCTCTCTCCACATGTTGATGTATGGCCAATGTAATCAACAATACATAATTTTCTATGGGACCGTGGCCCAGAATTGTTACGATTTGTCAAAATAGTGACATGACAGACCGTTACTTGACCTGCATGTACAACACAAATTAAACAAATGAGTAAATTTTTACATCGAATTATGACCTTGAATTCTGATCATGTATCGAATCGGTAAAGTGAATTGTTACAAGTCTGCAAATGGTACAGGTGAAACAAATAGGAGTCGTTTATTTTTGGATTGAATCCTAATTATAGGCACATTGTTACTTGGCCTGCAAGCAATATAAATAAGACGAAAAGCAATAGTTAAATGGGTGTGGTTTTCAATGTTCAGCGTTATAAAATGCAATTTACCTGAATGACTCTTACAGAAATTAAATAATAATTACAAAATTATAATGGCGGAGTGTGATTCTTCAGACTCTTCAGCTTCACCTCTAAGCTGCCGCTGCTGACTCTACTCCCACCCCTCGCTGCGCACAGCGGAGTTTGTGGATGCCTATGACTACGACGACGTGGATGACTCGGAGGACTTTGGCGAGGAGATGAACGGGAACTGGTCGCCGCAGGAGAAGGCTCTGCACGAGGCGAGGATCCGCGCGCGTGAGAAGCGCCGCCTTCGCAAGAGCTCGTCGCGCGACTCGGGACGCGAGTCGCTGTCCGAGGAGTCGCGGGGGGGCGACGGAGTGCGCGGGCCCGGTGGGGCCGGCACGCTCTCGGTGAGCCCCACCAGTCCCCGTGGCAAGGCTCCGCCGCTGCTCGACCGGCGCTCGCGCTCCAACAAGGGCCGAGGCCTACCCAAGAAAGGTGCGTTGTTGTTGCTGTTGTTGTTGTTGCTGGCACTGTTGTACAGCTTGCACTGCCCGCCCGCCTCCCTCGAGTCACCGGTCCCATCCGTTAGGGGAGCTGTGTGCTGCGCATTGAGGTCGTCGTGATGAATGGGTTTGTGGCGTCATCGTGTGTAAACGTGACCCTCCCGGTAATGAACTAGACCCCACCTAAACCCCACCGTGTGCCGTTTCCTGTCCATGGGGGGTAGTGGATTATGCCCGCTCTTTTTGAGCAGCCCCCTGTGGGTTGCTGCAGCTGTGTACATTGTCGATGCTCATCCTGTTCCCCCTTTGGTGGATTGACTCGAGCAAGTGGTGGCGGTATTATGATGTGTCCGTCTGGGAAATTATGAAATCAAAGACACAGTAAAGGGGTATTGAGATCCTCATTAGGTTGTGCCATTGTTCAGCACGGGTTGTGCAGCCTCACACTTACACCACTTGAAATGGGAAAGAATGTTCAGTGATTCGGTCGATAATATAATCTCATGATAAAATTGGACCCTGCAAAGCCATTTGAAATGGCTCAGGGCGCACGGACGTTGAATGGGGGGGATATGGCGAGAAGTGGACTGCGGTTTTTTATTCACTGCTTCATTTTTTGTGTCATTGTGGAACAAACCACCCCAGGTATTGCGTAACAGTGAGGCAGAGAACTTTGGTGTAGGGCATTGGCCAATGCTGTCTCATCAATTTAGCAAGGGAGGCTGCACCTCAGTGGATTAGATGGCAGGGAATTCATGGAAAAGGAGCTTTGTTTTGTGGGTACACATGCTGGAATAAGACGCTAACGATGTGATAAACGGTCTGTGATATTCCACAAAGCCATGCAATTATTAATTTTCGAAGTAAGTTTTTATGCAAATAATATACATGCATTGAACCGTGTATGATGCTGTCCTGGTGTTAAATGGTGAGTACAATGGACTTGAAATCCAGAGGTTGCCAGTTTGATCTCCCGGAACTGCAGTTGAAATAATGGTATAAGTTTATTAAATGTCCCCCCAACCGCCTCTGTTCATAGCATGAAATCTCAATAAACTCTTAAATCCATATTTAAAGCAAGCCAAAGATACAGCATTGAAATTGCCTGCTCGCACCACTGCTCTAGAGAGCAGCTGTGTAGAGCTCCCTATTACACAGGCTCCTCCACCAGCAGTCGTGTGGTCGATCATTTCAGGGCTCCACCTTTATTTAGAAACTAAAGTCCTTGAACATAATTGAACAAAACCATACAACACGCGATGGTCTAAAGGAGGAAAAAAAGGATGTAACTGTCAAGTCGGTGAATGGCCGGAGGGAAGACGGTAGAGGGGAACCGGGAGGTTGCATATCTATCTACCATGTCACAGAAACTCCCATTGCTGTAATGTTGTTGTTGGTGTGTCATGATGTTGTTGTGGCAGGTGGGGCTGGAGGCAAAGGTGTCTGGGGCGTTCCCGGGCAAATTTACGACGACATCAACGTTGATGCCCGGGACCCGAACTACGACGACGCGCAGGTGCGCTAACAGCAGCTTGCGCCTCCTCAAGCTTAGCGGCTTTTTTTAAAGGGGCACATAGGAAACTCATTACTTTGCCTGCTAGATATTATAACAACGACAACACTGCATTTATGTAGCATCTAATTGCAATCACATCTTAAGACTCCTTACAAAAACCTATGCTAGTGTAGACGGAGGCTGGGTTGGATAGTCAGGATGGAATTATGGGCAACAGCAGGAGGTTACGCAACCCCGTGTCAAAAGCCAGGAAAAAGCAACAGGGGCCCTCCAGCACCAACGTCAACAACAGCTAAAAACAATGAAAGTGGTATTGGCCAAACATCCAAATGCTGAAAAATAACCTTGAAACGACTCATTGTGGATCACACACAGCAACATTCTGAGAGCCAGGCAGGACCCTCCTGAAAAACCGTCTTGAGCCTCTGTACGGCGTGTGCAGGAGAACTGCGTGTACGAGACGGTGGTCCCGGAGCTGGAGGACGGCAACTTTGAGAAGACGGTGACCCCCATTGTGCAGGAGTACTTTGAGCACGGAGACACCAACGAGGTCATGGTGAGCACCGCCCCCACCACAAGCAGCTTGGTCGTCGGCAACACCGCACCAATTAGTTTGTGCGCGAAACGTCAAGTACGCTTCCCAGTATGTGCATAGAAGTAAGACTGCCTGAACAGATCTCAGAAGTATTTGTACGCTGTTCGTAACCCTAACACGTTATACAACTCCATCCTATTCAAACCAAACCAGACAATTCTGTTGCGTCAATGAACCAACTATCTTTCAATCCAATCTCTGAAACATGGCAAGTGGGAACGTGCAGCATGTGAATCTGAAGTGACGTGAAGATATATTAGTAGTTCTGTGATATCCTCTTCCATGAGCCGCTCTGGCACATGGAGTTGCATTAATCTGTGAGAGTTCTGAATGGACACCTCAACTCGTAATTTTATGCTGTTCGCACAATTCGGATTGCATTTGGATAAACAATACACCCATGTTTTTGACACTACCTGTGCAACCTTTTCAACAGTGTAGATGCATAAAATGCATTTGCTTATTCTAAAAAGAGTACATTGTATTATTATTATTTGGGACTGCTTCATTAACTCTAAAATAGTTTAAACAAGTTTTCAGTCGGCTTTGTCTCTCCCCCCTCGTACATACGGTTTGTACTGACGTAGACACATTGGTAATGATGAGAGGTTCTCTTGAGCAGCATACCTTGAACACCAATCAAGTCGATGCTGTTTAACCTCATTCTCCCCTCTGCCATTACGCGGTCTGCACATGTGCTCTCGTGCACACGCTTGTCAGCGCGTGTCCACGAGTGTCACATTGCCAGTTGGGCGTGCTGTCCTCACGACAAAGTAGGTCGCGGCGGATTGTGTGTGTGTCTGTGTGTGTGTGCGCGCGTGTGACGAGCGGTAGTGTAACGGTTAGCGCGCAGCGCTACGAACCTGGCGTCCCGGGTTCGATTCCCGCTCACGGCCAACACCAGTGATGATTATCTGAACCGATCCTGGGCCTCCCCTAGGTCGACTCAGCCTCAAATGAGTACCTTTTGCGATGTGTTAACATCGCTACTAGGGAGACAACGGCGGCCGGGCGTGGTGTTGGCCACCCAACCCCTCGTGTGCCGTGCCAGCCTTTATAGGTGCTCGCTAACAGCACTTGCCCTTGCAGTCTGTTAAGACTACACGGAGGATCTTTTATCTTTGTGCGCGCGTGTGTGTGCGTTTGCCACATTATTTGCAGGAAAACAGGCTTGGGCAAGTCGCCCCAATGAACCGTGCTACCATGCATCTCAAAGAGAACCCGACAGTGATAGACGCTACTGGCTTAAGTGCACGCAGGCTGTACGCGTGGCGTGCTTGCGTAACCTGGTGAAGGTGCACCCAGCCTTGGCCTTGAGCTCACAAACGCTGGCGCTGGGTAAACACGATGGCGCTGGCTGTACAACTCGCTCGGCTTGCGCCTGAGAGGAGAGCGCCACGGTGCATGGGACACGGGGCAGGTGCGCTGGGAAAAACAACGGCTGTGCGGCCCCCCTATGTGTGTGCGTGTGTGTACGGGGAGCGGTGGCACAGTGATTAGCCCACTGCGCTACAAACTTAGTGACCCGAGTTAAGTTGCCACACACGGCCTATTTCAGTAACGAATATCTGAAACCTGTCCTGGGCATCCAATAGGTTGACTCGGCCTTAAATTAGCACCGGGTGCAATGTGTATTGAACATCGGCAAATAGGAGCCCGAGTTGGCCATGTGTGGTCCTGGCCACAGCCGACCTGCTTGTGCTTCATACCCCTCTTGACGTGCTCATTAACTTAACAGCACTTGCCCCAGCAGCTTGTGTATGCTACACAGTCCAATCATAACACTTGGGTCTCTCCTGTGACCTGCCAGTGAGCCTTCCACACATCACGTGGCCTGCACCCTAGTCTGGTACGCCGCTACGACGTCACCACCTTTTAGTGGCGAATGGCGGCTGTTGTTGTATAGAACTTATGAGAGGTGTGTCGGTTTTCTCGGTTGTGCTGCGAAGCACTCAGATTGTTTACAGGCTTCACCGGGTGATCGGCAAGATGCCTTCACGTTTCGGTCCACATGCTGGGGGGACCGCCAGCATGTGGAATGGAGCGTATATAGTAAAACCCCGTGTAGCCAGACACTTACAGGATTTCACATTTAGCTGAAACCAGGTCGGCTAAATTATAAAGTAATCCTTGCAGTCCTCACGCAGTCTCGTTCGCCCCCTGGAGTATATACAGTACTCACATTAGCGGTGGGGATTTGGGGTGGAGGGTTGGGCGTTGGGGGATAATGGGGTGCTGGTGGGAGATGGAGAGACTGGCTGGTGGGAGGGGGAGCGACAACCTGCCGAACCGACCAGAGAACGCGCGCGCGACTCTACAATGCGTACAATGCAATTGTGTTGGTGGTAAGAGAGGGGGAGGTGTGGAAGGGGAGGGGCGATGGTTGGGAGTAAGATGGTGGCACGGATGGACAGTCCTGTAATATACAGGAGTTCACAATACAGTAAGCACACACTGCACAAACTGATGCATGTATGTTAAACGTCTTTCGCACCATACGTAGCCAACAGTGTTCCTCTGGGGTGCGGGGGAAGGACAATAAACGAAAAACAAAGCATGCATTTAACACATATACGAACGTCTTTTGACGTAGGTATTCATGATTTTAGCAGCTGGCTGGACAAGTATTAGTTTTGCTATTCGAGGTTTATGTTATAACATGCAACATCGCCAAATAACATGCGGGAACAACGCAAATACACGTTGGAGAGAGAGTATAACGACACGGATGTCACAAGTTGTGAGTGCTGTTGTTGTTGGTGAGTGTGGCTGGCTGGATTGGGGGGTGTGGTAGGGCGGGTTTGGCTGTGGTGGGAGGAGCTTGTGGGTGTTTGTGAGCTTTGCACGGTGGTGGGGAGACAGGCGAGGGGCGGGCGTTGGTTGGCGGTGAGCCGTGGAAGGCTGGGAAGCCCTCGTGTTAGGATGGGCTTGTGGGCTGCGTCTGCAGACCAGCGAGTGATAAACACGCCTGCCCGTACGTGACCCCACCATACACTTGCTGCTCGTCGCATAGGCGTGCCGGCCCGCTCGACCTTTTGTTCCGCGAGAACCCCATCTGCCTATTGGCCGTTAGTAGAGAGTGTTTGAGGTGAGGCGACGAATGTGAGCTTGCCCCGTGGACGTTTATGGCCGAACTGGTTGAGCCAGGCCCCAGGCACGGAGCGGCGCCCTTAAACTTGAGCTTGACCTGTGCTCCCAACAGAAGGTCTCTCCACCCCCATTACGCTGAGCGGCAGTTGTTGAGTGCTCGTGTTTCTTTGGCGTAGCGGGGGTTGGTATTTTCGTTCCTTTCTTAGAAACCCACCCGACTGTAACATTTGGTGGCGTGGTATGATCTTTGTGTCTTGTGCGCGTCTTTTGCGCGACAAAGTTATTTTACCAATGCCAAACTGCAGCCTTTTGTGTTGTGTGTATTCAGCTATGAGAGAGAGATGGCTGATGGGAGGGGGTCTTGACTTTAAGGTGCGAGGCAGCCTTCCACTTGCGTGGAGTTGCATTTTTCTTGAGGGGGTCACGAACACTGGATTTTTTTGTCTCAATTGGCACTACATTAAACAGCAGCCCGCTGCGGGTTTGCACATGCTACATTTGCCGTTGTTGCTGATCAATGCCGACGCTAGTCTCCTTGGCAGTGGCAGACCTGCCATGTTTGCTACGATTACCTCCAGCAAGGATCCCTGCCTTCATTGGTAAATAACACGGTGGGCGGGCTATTTATAGGCATCTTATCGGCATGCGTGGTGCTCACATTACTGCTGTACGCTGGTGAACGCGCTGTAATCTCTCGCGACGCACAAAATGGTGAGGCATTAATCTGCGGGCGAGCCAAAAAGAGCCCATTGGGCAGTCCCCTGTCTTTCAATGCGCCCAGAAGCACGCGCCACACACAGTTTGCCTCACCAGGCAAAGAGCACTACGAGTGCTGTGGCTGATGGGACGTGTAAAGAAAATGTATGCAGAGGAACAGATCGTGAAGGAGACATCTCTACTGTGTTTCTGTATATGTTGTGTATTTGTGAGTGTACTTTCACAAACAGTTTATTTTAAAAAATTCTGAATTATAAAGATTCCTGCTCCCCTTCCAGTATATGTCCCCGACCTCCCCTTTCCTGGAAACCTATTTCGTGAACAGTTTCTTTCCCGCCGGATAAAAGTAGAGGAATGCGTGCAGTGATGAACGGCCTCTTGCCCATCCATCTGTGCGTGTCCTGTCTCGGGTCCCCTCACTGCGGCCCCGTGTTGCTCCATCGTGAGGACGATGGGTTCTTACCCCTAGCCAACCACCCTCCCGCCCCAGCACCTTGTTATTCCTGCGCCTTTGTTTAGGACTCGGTCTTCCAGAATTATGTTTTTGTCTCGTCCACACTTGAAATACCACACTCCAGGTCACATCGCCTCTCATCCACCTACTCGCCAAACTGCAGGTCACCGAGATTTTTTATTTCTGCTTCTTCACTCGCACTGCTCCACTATCAAATTCTTTCCCATTGCGGTCTCTCTTCCCCAAAGCTCTGATTACAGTAACTTTGCTCAATTCAAGATACGTGTTACGCTCTTATCTATTGCGACTTTTGTCCGTGCTGTTTTATGCTCGTCGCCTGACATTTTCAGCCTTTGGGCCCTGGCTCAGGAACCGTTGAAAAAATAACACGTGCAAAGGTGGGAGGGGGGGGCAGGAGTGTTGAGATGCCTGCTGCAGATGCCCACGAGCATATTCAAAAGAGAAGCAGCTGCCCAAACGGAGCTCCACACACACACACTCGCGCAAGTCAGAATCTTCACCGGGATTGCGTCGAGTCGCGCCTGAAAAAAATAATGACGCCAACGACTCGGTTGAGTTGTAAATTCTATTATTAAACTGATTGCGTCACAAGCTCAACGATGCGTGAACATTTAATAGTGTACCAAAACAGAAAAGGTGGTAGGAGCCAGGGTTACTTGTACTGTGTATTAGGACTTTACAATTTGGCCGCCTAGCGTTTCTCGGCGAATTGTCACAGTTGGGGTTTGCGGTTTGATTCAAGAATCGATTGGTTCTTACGTCGTGGTGCAGGGCATTGTCCCTAGTGGGTGCAGATCCCACGTGAGCCCTGCTACAACAACAGAATAGCACGTTATGAATCTTAGATTGATTGACTCAAATCAATCCAAGGCTAGATGAGGGCTTCCCCAGGGAGGGGTCACGATAACTCGTAAATTTGATCCAATATAAATAAAATATATTATTTGGTTCTTTAGCTAAAGTCATGTAGATAGAAAAAGTAATAATAAAAAAAGTGAGCGTACTGGCAGTCTATCATGTAGACTGTAGCCTGGTTTTTAAGCTGGTGAGCGTACTGGCAGTCTATCATGTAGACTTATTCGGGTTCTTTCAGAAATAAAATAAACACAAACCACGACGTTTCGATGGCAACACAAACGGTCGTCATCGCTTGTGTTGCGATCGAAACGTCGTGGTTTTTGTGTTTATTTTACTTTTATTTTTATTACGGAATTCCTGCAGTCACGAAAGTTTTAAGTCAAAATTTTAAATATATTTTAGAGTTGTGTTGCTATTGGGGACCTACCATGTAAAGAACCAGCCGAACTGATCAAAGTGTTGGAGAGAACTTGGCGATTAAAAAAAAACAGCACTAAGTTAGTTAGCCTTTTCGGCCAAGGTGATAGCATCATCATGCGTGACATCATCTCGCTATGCGGTTTCGGAGGGTAACGTTATCGTTAAGTAAATATTTTCGAGGACGACTGCACATTTGTAAGTGTTACAGAATCTCTGATGTGTGTGCGTGGTTTTTATTCCAGTGCGATGACCCCTGACCTCCCCTCGTGCGCGCCCCCTCCTCTCCCAAAAGGTGCTGCTCAGCGACCTGAACCTGGGCTCGCGCAAGCCGCAGCTGCCGGTGCTGGCTGTGTCGCTGTCGCTGGAGGGCCGCGCCAGCCACCGCGAGTTCACGTCACGCCTGCTTGCCGAGCTGGCAGGGCGCGAGCTGAGCCCCGTCGAGATGAATCGCGCCTTCAACCGGCTCCTCAAAGAGCTCCCTGAGCTCATGCTCGACACACCCGATGCCCCGCAGGTGAGTCCATGTGCTGGCCACCCTCCCCCTCGTGTGCCACAGTGCTGGCCTTCATAGGGGCTCGGTAACAGCACTTGCCCCAACAGTCTGTTGAGGCGATATGGGAGATCTGTGTGTGTGTGCGCATCTGTGTTGGCACAGTGTGGAGCACAGGTGGTGGTGGATATGTTGGTCGTGTTTAATGTTTAGTTTTATGTAGCGTGCTCGTTCTTGCAAACAAGCTGGAAGGCAGCCAGACAGGTGAGCCGGTACTACCAACAATTGCCCAAACGCTGCAGTCATCGCTGTAGTTTTCAGCCAATTAATGTTTATACAATTGGGAGAAAATCCTTCCCTTTGCAGTGCTGGATTACAGGTGTGCACCACCACTGCTAGGTAGTGTCATCTCACTCTGTTAACCCAAAACACCAGGGCCTTTACCCTGACCTGTCAGCCTAGGTAACGTCACCACCACTTTGTGTTGAACGGTGGTTGTCGTTGTGTGCGCTTGTGTTTCCTTGTGTGTGCATGTGAATGAAGGATATTTACGTATGTGTGAGTCTATGCGATATCACGTCTGGCCATGGCCAGCCCAAGATCCTGGGGGTGTGCGAGGAAGATCCCCTTGGAGTGATGGGGTGGGAGCTTGCGAATGCAACAGTTGCTGAGCACAGACATTAAGGCCTCCTTAATGCAAAGCAGCCATCAACAAACAGCATGATAATTACACTTCAAGACAGAATTTGCACAGTTCTTGATTTGAGCACAGTTATAATAAGGTACTTGAGAGGCGAGACGATAGGAGAGAGTTCCAAAGTCGAGCTGTGTGAGGAAAGGAGGAGAAAGAGAAGTGATTCGTCCTACGCCATGGTAGCTGCATTTTTGTGGGGGGAGGCACTGTGCCTGCTTTTTTTTATGCATCGCACCACAGCAGAAATAGCCAGAGACTTGCCAAAGCCTGTTGTCCTGAAGAAACGTTATGGAAGCGATGGCAATGCTTTATCACAGCGGATGGCTTGTAAATACTTTGTCATTCCAAATACACTGTTATTTGTCAATGGCGTTTCTCGTCAAGTTTGGAAGCTTTATCGGCAGAGTATTGCAGAGTACACAGCTGGTGCCTCCACCGTTTTTCTCTCGTTCCGCGAATGTTTGACACCAGAGAAGACAGTGGGGCCTTTGTTTTTTTATTACACGCTTTTATTTAACTCACTCTGTTATGTTTCGCCTTGGGTCTAAATTGTCCAGGTCAACTAACGTTGGCTGTAATTGCCCACGGTCCCTTACGTTATGGCAAGCTTCGGGGTCGATATACTGCTGGATGGCTGCTATGAATCTTTACGTGATGTAATGCAAAGTACTTGAACATTAAAAAAATGTTTTTACTTTTTTGTACATTTCGATTTAAAGCTTTCATGACTGCAGGGATTCATCTTCTTGGTTCTTTCGGTAAAGTCACGTAGAAGAGCAATAATAAAAGAATAAAACTAAAACATAATAAAATAAAATTATCACGACGTTTTAGTACATTTCATAAAAGCGTGTCTTTTTAAAAAGTTTTTCTAAATATAGATTTGTAAATCTTGTTTTGTGACCTGTGCCACTGCTGCTGCCGTCAGCGGTGGTGGTTTGTGCAATACGCACCGCACAACTGCTGATACACATCGGTGTGAGCCGTGGGCCTCTGCCTCATGCGCTTTTTATCAACTTAACGTTCTTCAGTGCTGCTAGTGATTACGAGTGTGAAGATTGTATGAAAAAACTGAAATATGTATCAAGTGATTAACATCATATCTGTGTTATTTCTGCCAAGGATTTCATCGTTTAGGCAAAATATTTGGTGATGGACGCTGAATGCCAACAGGCTAGGTCTGACAGTTGCTTTGTACATTTGTAAGGAAAATTAGGAAATAGATGTTGATGAAAGCCCTTTGAAAATCTTTTTTTATGATTAATATCCACACTTGGGCCGGGAGGTGGGTTTACTCATGTTAAGCAATGCTTCAAAGATACAAAAGTCCTGTCTCGGGTTTGTAGGGCTATGCATGAGGTTTTTGGTGTTATGTGTAGGGTCTGTGGGGTTGTCTGGTGTGTTATGTTACTCTAAAAGGGCATTCTCATATATTTAGCGTGAATTCCAAATGATCAAATTCTTAGGCACAAGATTCGATTTATGTAGAATGTAATCAATGCACGACTACATTCCTGCTGCTTGCTGTGCCTCAGGACTACATGAACGTGTGTTGACCACCATAATGTGGGAGGTTTGCACGGGAGAGAAAAAAAGTTAGACATTTACACTTGCTTGTTACCCTGGGGTAAATACTAATTTTCACAACTCGTGAGTGTGAGAGAGGGCCCGCGCTGTGAGAATTTGGACCCATTTCAAAGGTTGGCTGCTTAAGTTAAGAGCATAAAAACAGCAACAATAAGTGTATTGCATAACTTCTGGGCCCCTGTTTTCGTGGCTGCTTCCCCTGCTTCTTCTTCCCTTGCAATACCCAACTTTGGACTTCCCTCCCATCGTCTCTTTTCCCAAGCTCTTACAATCTTGCTCGATTCAAGAAATGCTTTACACTCTTTTAGTTCTCACTACTTTGATAGTGCTGTTAATGTTGCTGGCCGTTTGACGTTTTGGGCCTTTGGGCCCGCGGCGCACCTGGCGTGTCGCATGCGGGCGTTGACATCTGGGGAAAGAAAGAAAACAGCAGAAAGAGTGGAGGGGCATTTATTTTCTTTCTCTTGGGAAAGAGGGGGCATACGAGGCCCCTACGTGGTGATGTATGCGGCGCATATGTGCAGCTTGCATCAGCCATGTGGTGTGCCTGGCCCGTTGCCTGCCCTGCGTGTTTGCTGCCACGAGGCAGTGTGTGATGGGCAGGCCGTGTTGCATAACTAACGGCTCACTATGTTTACGGAACTGCCGTCAGTTCGCCCCCCACCCCCTCCACCCCCCACCACCCCCTCAACCCCCCACCACCCCACCACCCCGCGCTCCTCCTCGCCCGTGTATGGTAGAAGGCCGAATATGCAACGTCAGCGCTAAAGGAGCGATAGTAGAATCCCGAGCGATGGGACCTCGGAGAATGTTGATGCCTGCTGCTGCTCACGTGGCCTCTGAATGTGGCATATGTGTGCGTGTCCTATACGTCTGTGTGTGGAATTGTTGTGTGTGTTGCCTCCATGTGCGTGTGTATTTGGTTGTTCATGTATGTGTGTTTGCATGCGTGTTTATGTGCGTGTGGGGAGCGGGAGTGTAGTAGTTAGACCACTGTTATACTCAATGCATAGCCTCCCCTGATGCCAGTAGCGAGTGTCATCTGAACCTGCATTGGACCCCTTTGCATGGTGCGGTGTGTAAACAGCAGCACTGTTGGCGAGACAAAGGTGGCCGGGTGTGCTGCTGACCACAACCTACTCGTGCACTGCTGGCCTTTATAGGTGCTCGCTCAGTCTTTATGGCTGTGCGGGGATCTTTATCTCGGCATATGTGATTGCATTTGTGTGTGCGGTAGTGTTGCAGTTAGCGCGCGCTGTTACGAACCCAGCGACACGAGTTTGATTCCCGCTCACAGCCCACACCAGTGACGGTTATTTGAACCGATCCTGGGCCTCCCCTGGGTCGATTCAGCCTAAAATGAGTATCTGGTGCTGTGTATAAACATCGCCACTGGGGAGACAAAGGCGGCCGGGCGTGGTGCTTGGCCACCAATCCCCTCGTGCTGTACCGGCCTTCATAGGTGCTCGCTAACAGCACTTTTCCAAAAGTCTCTAAAAGCTATACGGAGGATCTTTATCTTGTGTGCACAAAACAAGTTCATGGGGAGGTGGACCCAGAGAATGAATTAGCTCAAAAGGGCATTGTAGTATCATGGGACCTCCTTTGCCAGTATCAAAATATATGTAGTATATTTTCCACTTGTTGCAAAGGGAATAGAGGTGGACGTTGGTGATGAAACATCTAAATTTTATTGAGTCTGTTAATGTAACAACAATAATAACACTTATGTTGCACCCGTAACGTAGGGAAGCGTCTCGGAGCACGGCTGTTTCGCCTATTCGCTAGACTCCTCCTGAAGCCGCCCACTGGCTGACTTGCCAACCTCAACACGGGACCCAACGTTGCTGATCAACTCCCCACCATTCAAAATAAGACTGTCTATTTAAATCTACGGATCTCTATGCGAGCCTTTGAGTACCTATGTAAGTCTATGGACCTCTGTGCATAAATGGATCCCTATGCTAGTGTGAAATCTCCACGATATGCACCAGGCTGCTCCTGAAGCTGACCATTGGCTTGCTCGCCAACCTCGGCATAAACATATAGATATTGACGATCCACTCCCTGCTGTACGAACCAAGAATGGTTCTGTTTTCGGGTCTATAATGTGGATTCTTGATTCCGAAATGCCTTGGCCTGACATAAGAGCAGGCAGGAGAGTGGCTCCTGGAGAATGTTGGGTGGAGCGCGACCGTGAACTGGCAACAATGTTGTTGTGTGGCCACATTCAACCCCCGGTAAGGTCAAGCCACAGCAAACAACGTTAACAAAAAAACGGGCCGCCCACGCACGGCAATTCGGTGGCTGAGAGGACTGTTCACCGGCAACCACCTCCGCCTTCTCAAAGGTGCTAGCAAACCACCGGGCCAGCAAATAGTAAATTCCCCCATCAGTGGAAAAACACAGGTCCTGTTACTCCTGCTTTTGTTAGTTTTATTTTTAGGATTGCACTCGTGTATAGATTTATCCCCCCACCCTCCCCCTGCAGTGATTCGATGAATTGTAAATGACCGCCAAAATGTATTTTGACAACGAATTTGCTTTAAACAATAACGAGGTCGGCCCGGGTTATGTTGTGCTGTTCACTTACGAGAGAGAGAGTGCTGGAAGCCCACTTACCGAGCCATCTTGGTGTTGGAGTGGCACAGTAGCACTGCCTGTAGGAACATGTAATTTTACATTATTATTCCTAAGCTTGTTTACCCAGGAAAGCCTCGCTGAGTTTCAGGATTCTTTCAGGAGGATCCTGAAAGTTGTTGGAGTCAGCGGCGATGGTGCTCAGTTTAATCTCAATTGAGTATTTTACAGGTATGTTTTTTACATTGGGATGTTTGACCAATACCAATTATATTGTAGGTTTTTTTTGTTCAACTCTGGGAGGAAACCAGAGGAACCCATGAAGAACGGGGGAGAACATACAAACTATACTCTTCATACATACAAACTGCACACAGGAAGGTGCCAGAGTCTGGAATTGATCCCAGGTCCTTCTTGTTGCGAGGCACAAGTGTTGCCACTGTGCTGCCGCCATGGCACCAGATACTTTATTTCACAATATTATTTTCAGCAAGCCCCTTAATGCTCGGCAATACGGGGGTGAGCCTGGTTCACAAACAGAACCAGCCCGGTTCCCACTTCGTGGAAACATGGCGCGCGCGGTTTTTTGTTGCCATTGATCTCAGTGCCAGACCTCTAGCGCCAGCTTGGTTTAGTCGCCGCACGCGGGCACCGTGAGGTGGTTGAACCGTTGCATGAGTGAGGAGGAAGCCATGGGAAATGAAATTTCAGCCTCGGTTATCATGTGAGATTTCACCGCTGGGCCCCTTTTGATTTCACGAGTCAGGACTGCAGATGTGGGAATCGGCTGTGTGTGCGTGTCCGTAGTGGATCCAGGGGTTGGGCGGCAGTGCCTTGAGGCCCCAGCATTTTTTATTTTATTGATATTTACCAGAGAACAGACATTGAATGTTATAAATGTAGAGCCCTATTTAAAGAGCGTGAATGAAGATCGCATCGTAATTGAACACACAGTCACGGGTACAGGCAAGTAATCGTGCAAGCTAAAGCATTTGTGGACAGGATTTTAAGAGTTTGCACAAACTCTCCTTTGATGTTCATCACTTAAATGAGGCTCTTATTCTACCGCCGCTATTTAGATCTCACTTCAAAGTGTGGGGCACTTCAAAGTGAGTGACGTACGTAGGGCCACAGAGTTGCAGGCGCATCTCTGCTCTGACGCAGTCCAGAAACTCTTCAGTTGAGGGCGCTTGTCAGAGAGGACAGTTTGGCCCTCGAGAGAGCGACTTGACCAAACGTTGAAGCATGCCGAAAAGATTTCCGTGAAAACAATATACCACACACGAGATGTTGTACTGCAGGGATGGCCAACCTGTAACACACCGAGCCCAAAAGTACCCATGAGTTCAGCAAAGAGCCAAGTGAATATGTGTAAATATATTGAGTTTTTGCCACAGGACAGGAGGAGACAATCATTGTTCTTTGCTACTGTGATAGTACGTTCTACGTTCTACCCCTTCGATAGAGCCACATGTGGTGGATTGAAGAGGCCATTTGGCCACCACTGCTGTATAGGAACCGTGGCTGTGCTTTGTTGATAGAGGCAGTCAGTCCTAGGCAGAGGAGAGAAGAGGAAGGTGTTGAGGCTGGACTTGAATAGTAGCTGGGAATCCATATCAAACAATATTCAGGCCCCATTTACAGCGGAAAGCCTTGGACACAGGACCTGGGGCTACAGGGCTGCACTAAGTGGTGGCCAGCAGAGGACAGTGCCGCAAAATACATCAGACTGTGCGCTGCTGCCACATCTGTGCTCCCCACCTTCACGTTAATTTTGTTTAACAGTGAGAACTCAAGAGACAAGGATAGTCTCGTTTGCGTAAGTGATCTGGGTTAGCCTCCTTCATCAGCCTGCATTGACCAAAGTGGTGAAGTATGGTCAAATATAACCCTTTGGACCCACATGACATGAGGAGTCCTTCATTCAGCAGTGAATTGACAGGCTATAATCTATAGGTGTGCGTGTTGGATTGAAGTGGGTGGGTGGGAGATGATGATGTACTCATTCGTGGCCACTGCACTGGCCTGGATATCTGACAAACAGCGTGAATTGCCATGCCGGTCATTGTCACTGACCCTGCGTGTCGTGCACTGCCTAACATTTTTATCGTGCGTGCGTGTCTCTGCGTGTCTGTCGTGCAGATGGTCGGGCAGTTCGTGGCACGAGCAGTGGCCGACGAGGTCCTTCCTCCAAATTTCCTGGAGAGCCACAAGGGCAAGGTGGACTGCCCACACGCCAGGTGGGCAAGGCCGGGCTGCGATTGGTAGACGGCTGGTCACATGTCCTGACAACTAATGCTAACCAAATAGCCAGCCGAGGCCCTAGTAAGAGCCTAACCCTAACCCTAACCAACTAGTCAGCCAGCTTACTAGTACTAGCTCTACCCATAATCTTGAACCAATTCGCCAGCTTTCCACTACCCCTATTCAAAAAGCTAGCCAATTACCCAACCAGCAACTAGGACTAGATCTACCCCAAACAATAACCAAGTAGCCACCCTTGTCACGAGCTCATGCCCGAAAGCTAACAAACAATCTGCTTGTAGTTAAACCAGTCTCTTGGGAGTAGCGAGTTGATGGTCCCAGCTGGGTCACCCATGGCTGCGCTAAATAAACATCGCAATCATGTTGTGGTGTTAATTTTTTTTTCAATAAAACTGGAAATGTTCAAGTTATATCGACATTCCACAAATGCCCTTTGCAGGGCATGTTAACAGTGAGCTCATGTGGATAAGAGGAGGAGGGGGGGGGCTATCGAAAGGATATTCCAAAATGTTGTGATGTCATTTTCCAGCACCTTTCTGACACAAGGTGATGCCATGTCATCTTCCCAAATAAGATTTCGTCAACTCATGACATGACAGAAATTGAGCGACTGGAATTAAATAGAGCGTGTGTGTGTGTGTGTTGGTGAGAGTGCGTATTTGTGAGGTCGACTTCATAAGTGATCACGCGCAGCACTTGCCCCAACAGTCTATTTATGCTATACGGGAGATCTTTGTCTTTGTGTGAGTGAGAGGGCTCGTGTTTGTGTGTTTATGTGATTGCCTGGGCAGACGTGAAGATCCGTTTGTCTGGTCCTGTGAATCGGACGTTAGGCACGAGTCGCTGAGCGCCCACACAGCCTTTAGTGCAAAGGCGGAAAAAAACCTGAGCTCGGCAATTTATTAAAGCGGTGTTGTCCGTGTTGTGCCGAGAGTGCCCATGGGTTGGGAATGCACGCACTTGCCACGTGTATCGTGTGTTTTTGTCTTTCCGCAAATGTTATTACAATTGCGTGTTCTTCATCACGAGGCGAAGTATCCGTTGGGAACTCTAGCCAAGCGGCGCGTCATCTTTGGAAGCAGGATATCACCAATTGCTGAAAGACTGTCACGTTACTTGCTGGGAGCGCTGCACTTTCCCATGTGCCCTGCGACACTTTTTGTCCAGTTTAGTGAAAACTCAAATTGAATGCGATGGGTTTTTGTTGTTCAGTAATTGGGTGACCAGGTTGGAACCATCGACTCACTGCACTGGAGAACCATTTGCCACTCGTTTTGATGTCTAGTCAACCACACACGGGTTCATGGTGCAGGACAGCGATGGTCAGTCCCCCAAGCTCTGTGACGAACCATCCTTGTCGATCTCAACAGGCTCCACGAGCCACCAGATAGCTATGACATAACAATTACCCGGATGGATTTAACCCTGTAATATACTATAATGATTATAAACAATTTATTACGCACATTTCGCAAATGGAATGCAATCGAGGCGCAGGAACTAGGCACTCACAGTGCAATGTACTAGCGCCATCTGTTGGTAGAAGTTATTTTTACTGTAATTATTTCTAAGGGATTTGCCATCAACATGAACGAGAATTGTCTGCTTATGATGTCTGTGTTTGTTCTGATTTGTCCTGAGATCCATAAACAAAATGTTTAGCAATCCACCCGTGGATCACGACCCACGTATTCCCCACCTGCGATGCAGGAGTGTCTTACCAGAGCTCGCAGTATGCTGTACAGTCGACATTAATGTGTTCTTATGTCTTCTTTACACCAGCCAAAATGTGGAATTATAACTGTGACGTAAAACCGTAGATTTTAATATCGTTCAGGTCTACTTTGCGAGGGAGAGTAAGCATCTCCTTGAGCTTCGCATGGTTCAGTCGACATTTCTGCGTGGTTGGAAATAGGCAAGGATAGCCTGCAAGCACGGACACTGTAGGGAAATACACTGCTGCTACCAATCGCAATCGTTATTGGGTCCCAGGAGGTGCCATCACGCATGTTAATGGCAGCAATGAATAGGAATAAATTATCGGATGGGGTTGTGGTTAGGGTTTAGTATTAAGAGTTAGGGTTGGGGATGGGGTCAAGGCTGCCAATTCTCCTCCAGAGGAGTTTTGAGACTCGTGTTAAATCTTGGTGTCGTCGTGCATCGTAGTGTTTGTCGTCACTGGCCCCGCTCACCCCGCGTGCCGCCGGGCGTGCAGGGCGGCGCTGGAGCGGGCTGCGGTGCTGCTGAGCATCAAGCGCGGCATCATGAGGCTCGACAATGTGTGGGGGGTGGGCGGGGGACAGCGACCCGTCAAGCACCTCGTTAAAGAGGTGCGCTGCCTACCCCTCCCCCTCGTCGCGATTGGATGATTCGCCACGAGTAGAATCGTAATCTCATTCTTTTGTTATTAGTGGGTCATGTAGAATGTATATGATGCAGAGCACACACACAACATTACAAACGAGACAGGGAGGGGAAAAAGTAACGATTCTAAAATAAGTAACGATCCCCGCGTAGGTGAGAAGTCGACGATTTGCAAGAGTGACCCGGGTCACCAAGACGACAAAGCAATCACAAAAAACCGATACCACAATGAGGCACATGGAAATCGGATCAAAAACAACCAAATAGAAATCGGAGCAATTTCCAATTTCAACAATTCGTCGCGGTTGCTCTGGGAGGGTGGTGAATTGTTACAAGTGCTCGCTGGCGTGCGTGCGTGCGTGTAGATGACGCTGCTCCTGAAGGAGTACCTGCTGTCTGGCGACGTGAAGGAGGCCGAGCGCTGCCTGCGTGAACTGGAGGTCCCGCACTTCCACCACGAGCTCGTGTTCGAGGTGTGCATCCCCACACACGCTCCCACACGCCACCCACCCCGCCGCTTGTACCATGCCCGCCGCTTGTGCCGCCCGCCGCTTGTGCCATGCCCGATATACCAACTATGTCGTCAGTAAATTTTCAGTTAATTTTTTGACACCCAGGTCTTCACAGCCCATTGCGATCTGAGCGCGGTGTTGAGAATTTCTCTTCTGGAGCTTTGGCCGTGCACTGCTGGGAGCGTCGTCATTTGAACTTCGATGCCCGCAGCAGTGCGTGACTAAAGCTCGAGAAGAGAAACGAGGCAATGCGCAGCCCCAGCTGCACAAGCGCGCATGGGAATTCCACTGCTGTGTAACGAGCAGGAGGTGGCATCGGCGGCTGTGTGTCCCCTTGTGTGTCGTCGTGTTCGTTCGTTTTCTCGGCTGACTGGCCCCGTGTCTCGTGTCTGAAATCTGGCGCCGTCTCTTGCAGGCGGTGGTGATGGTGCTGGAGTCGAATGGCGAGGCCGTGTCCTCCATGATGGTCAACCTGCTCAAGGTGTTCTGGGGGACCGGGGTCCTCACCCTGGACCAGATGAACCGAGTACGCGCACACCGCCACCAGCGCAGCGGCCGCTACGAGGCGACACAACAACCATGTGCAACACCATCACAACGGCCGTTGGCTCACAGACGCAGGGATCGTTGCTAAGCGAATTCAAGCACTACTTTACAAACGCAACGATTACTACGGACATCACACATCCATTACTCTGCAAGCACAACCGTTACTTCGCACGGCCCAGCGGACCTGTGACGCACCGAGATGTTAACACTGAAGGAAAATCGCGCACACGCATGGATTCTGTAGCAATTTCCAATGTGCATTTGCACATGGCAGCATTAGTTAGCCATTATAACGTCGACCACCAATCCACACAGCAAGACTGCGTCATCACACTGCACGGGAACGTGTGACGTCGCGAGATGACGAGTCCACGGCATTGCGCCCTGCAGGGAAGCGAGGTGCGTGTCATGCGACGTTGGCCTTGGCCGAAAAGGCTTTCCCACCATCGCTGGGCTTTTATCATCATCAGGTTTTGGACTACCCCTTGACCAATTTGGCCGTTTTTTTAAGGGGCAAGTTCCTAATAACAAGACAACCTTTTATCACTATTTGTATTGGATCTTGTTCACGAGGGTTGTCGTGATCCACCGCTGCAGACCAACAGAGTGAATGCAAACAACGAGCAAAGATATGCTCACAAACAGCAGGAATCCCATCCTGCATTTTAATGTTGTGATGGGCTTTCTCATCATTTAAAGAAAGTGGTGGAGTTAAATGTTGTTGGAAAGCATTGCAAATCGATGCGACTGTGAGTGGTGTGTTAACCTGTTTGTGCGTGTGTCAGGGCTTTGAGCGCGTGTTTGGCGAGCTGCCCGACATCAGTCTGGACGTGCCACGTGCGTACGCGCTGCTCGAGAGGTTCGTGGAGAGCTGCTTCCAGGCCGGCGTCGTCACCAAACTACTGCGCGACCGCTGCCCCATCAGGTACCAGCACACCGGTTCCCCATGCCCCCCCCCCCCGCATTACCTCTAGGGATAAATGTTGTTTGGGAGCTCTCTGAAGTTCTTCATTATGATAGGGCGCCTCCTTTATGTTTGAGCATCTCGGAACCCTTTACGTTGCGCTCCGTCTCAAACATTTGAAAAGGCGGCACCCCCAAGCGGACGCTATCCCTGTGCATGCACAAGGCGACTGCTCTGGCCTGCAAGTGGGCATTCATCTGCTGTCAGTAGGGGACCATGATTGCTACTGTGCGTGATAGTAACGGAGTAATTTTCAGTGCAGATTTTCACATTTGCTAAATTTAGCCCATGACGTACTGGCCTACTATTCTTTGAATGACGCCAGGGGATCTTTAACATCCACAGTGAACCAGACGGCACGTAGTATTTTTATGGTTAATACACAGCGGTAATAATTATGCTTGTGATGAACACGTCTTGTGCGTGACACCTGTGCCTGAACGTGTCGCGTGCACGAACGTGTCGCGTGCAGGGGCCGCAAGCGCTTTGTGAGCGAGGGAGACGGCGGGAGAGTGAAGCAGGAAGCCTTCTAGAGTACGGACTCCGAGCGGATCATCGGCACAGCCTCCTCCCCCCTCCCCTCCCTCGACCTACCCCCCACAACCTCCCCTCCCCCCCCCTGCCGCATCACCGGACCACACCGCCCGGGACTGCCCAGTTTCCAGTGCTCACTCAGCGACTCCCTAGAAACTGCTAAATATCTAAATATGAGTCCTCGTCACGTCGAATTTACCGCACGTGTTCATTTCTCCCCGTTGCCCCTTGGTTGAGCCGTGGGCAGTTGTGATTGTCGGCCAGGTGGCCCGGGTGGCTCGAGGGTCGGGCTGCCGACATGGCACCGTCGCTGGGTTTCTCACTCGGGATCTAAGGCAGCCGAGCTGCCTTGCGATGAGGCGTAGCGAGTTTACGGTCTCAGCCCGGTCACTGTTTACCCCACACACAAAAAACACTATTACATGAAACTCGGTACTTAAACTTAATTGGGATAAATTCCAGCTCTTGAGAATTACAATATTTGACATTGCTGTATTTCCTAGGTTACGTCGTCCAACTGAAAAGGGAAAATGAGAGGTGGAAACCCGTGGCAACGTCACCACGGGCGCCACGGCCAACAAACGTGCACAGGCGGCAAATTCCGAGTGAGAGTTGGGTCCGCTAAGTTTTTGTTTAAATCGTCGGAGAGACCGTGTCCGGCGTGGTTCTTGCACTTAATTTGCGATGAATCTGTGTCCGTGTGGAAGGCGGCAGCAGGGCAGGCCTCGGATTGGCGAGCCCTCTCGGGAGGGCGACAGCTGTGCCCGGCTCCACGTGTGGGCTCGTTTATGCTTCCCTCGCAAATTTCAACGTTTTGTGCCTTGACCCCCCCCCCTCCCTAGCCACTTCTTGATGGAGGAGTTGTAAATCTTTATAATGAGCCCAATGTCCCTTTCACGACCCCACTGTGAACTCTCAAAAGTGAGAACGAACCGGAAGCCAACGAGGTATTGGGGAGGACGATATTGCCGAGTGAAGTGTCGGTAGAAGGAGTTCGAGTTAGGATCGTAGCTAAAGTTACAAGCCGATTGGTCTGGAACTCTTTTCCCCCACCCAGCCTCCATACACGACCGCTTCCTTCTCGCCGTTGATGTTCACGGCACCGCGTGTTCGCGGGACACCCTCCACGCCCATTCCGGCATGGCGAGTCGGGCGATCTGGAAATGAAGGAACGCTCTGCCTGAGGCTCGCGGGGCCGGGTTTGCGGCCACCACTGCCGTTGCCACCATTGCACGCGGGCATTTTTTACTTTATTTGTCTTTGGCAGAGATGTATTCGTAGTCTTGAATCTGCCAACTAAATTCTGGTCGATGTTATTGCCACCAATTCGGGGGGGGGCCCTGTTTACCAAAATCAGAGCCGCCATTGCGAGAATAAGGTTCCTAGGTAGTCGTTGAAACGTTTGACTGGTGAGGTCTGCCGTTGCCTCTGTCCACCCAGGAGTGAAGCCGTACAACCCGCGGTTGCCAGCTGGTGGTGGAGTAAAGTGGGTAACTCCCACGTCTTCCAAACCCAGTCTGGAACAGGACATTTCTAAATTTGGTAGAGGGGGAGGTGTCTCCACGCACGCACGCACACAGCAGTGTGTTGGGGCGGGCTTCCCCTCCACTCCTTCGAGGCCATGATATGTTAAACACTGCCGGGAGGGGAAGTAGGGCGTGCACAGACTTGTGTGTAGACCCTCCCTCGACAATTGACGGTGGAGTTGAGACAACTGCCAGTCGCTAGGCACGATGGGGGGCGTCTTCGCTGTGCGGTGTGGACGCAGGCACACAGGAGGGCGGAATATGGGCCGCCCCCAAATCCCAGGCCCCCTCTCCCAGCAATCCCGTGTGTTACGCGCAACCCGAGGGCGTGGCTGCCAGGCCCTGCTGTACCCATTCACACTCGCAAACTGATTTTACCGTCGTGCGACAGTTTCGTGCGCATCAGCCCTTAACGGGGAAAACATATTCACGCCGGGGCGTTTGTGAATGTACGTGTATAAAGTCGGGTGTAAAAAAAATAAGAAAAAATGAAAAAAGGTAAAAATGTAAAAAAAAGCTCCCTGAAGTTTATGTTTCCCTTCAGGCTATTTTTTTATGGTGTTAGTTTTGTATGTTGTCATCGCTTGCGCTTATCAAGGGGGGTGGGGGTGAAGCTCGCGGAGGGCGGTGGTGGCGGCGCCCATGGTGGTGGCCGCCACCACCACGGGCGCCGTCGCTCCGCTGTTGGCCCACATCGAGGGCCGCGGCAAGACTGACGGCTCCTTCGCGTCCGGAGCGGTCTCCGCGAGACCGCCGCGAGACCGCCGCGAAATCGCGGGGGGCCTGGCCCTTACCCCCCTCTCCTCGTCGGACGCCGCTCACTGGAGGGGGGGGCGGGTGGTGGGAGCGCCCCTCAGTGGAGGCGCGCCGGCGGAGAGAGACGGGGTAACGGTTGGTAGGCGGGTACGTTTTATTTTGTTTAAACATCTGTAGCACTAAAACAGAAAGCGCATCCCAGTTATTATTGACTGGTCCCCGCAGGGCTGAGGGGCCGAATTCTCTGGAGGCCGTGACTCTTTGCGTGTCTTGGAGGGCGGGGGCTCTGCGTCAGCTCTGGGGGGGCCCAGGTTGCAGCTGCAGAAGAGAGTGGGGGGTGGGGGGCGCTGGCAAGGCAGAATTTGGCTTGCGGATCGGACAACATTTACGTGAGGCTGTCCAAGTGGGTGGGCACAGACGCATCGATCCGGGTATTACAATTCATTATGCTCATGATGCATACGTTGCATCGTGTGTCATCAACTTTAAAAAAAATTAAATGATAAGCTGCTGTGACAATTGGGATGATGGAAATAAACAAAACAAGTGGGACTGGAAACGGGAAACCACACAAGTCGGTGAAAACACGGCCGCAGTTTGATGGCTTATGACCCCGCAATTTCGATTTGTGGAATCTTGGGGGGTGGATCAATTGCTGCCAACCAAACGGCCTTGTCGAGTCCATCGCCAAGTGTGGCCAAGACCGGGCTGAGCCGAACACTCAACCTTGTGGCTCGGCTTGGGCAAGGTTGAGCAATGGCCCAATAGTCAAAAGGACCAGCAACAAACAGCACTGTCATTTGGGCCAAAGAGGAAGTAGCCAAGCATTGCCAATTTGACTTCGTGAACAGAAACCTCCGCTGCAGCTGCATCCAGTCAGCAGTTCTTGGGTTGTGTCTGCCCTTGGGCTATCTGTAATAAGCTTGTGTTTGTGTTGCACAGTTTCCGAAGGCAAAAATGTGAATGAGTCCAGTCCATGTTGGGCAGGCGGCGCCGACGCATGGCGGCGAGTGGGAGAGTCCTCGACCCTCTCCACGGCTCACGGTGGCTTCCAGATCTCATCGTCCCTCAAGCCCGGTCGGCACTCCGGGTGGGCGGGCGGGCGAGTGGGCAGGGCGATCACTCCAGAGTTAACGTCCAGCGCTCGTGGTTGGGAAGCGTTTGTAGAAATTGTCGGTGGGAAAAAACCGTTAAAGTTTGGATGGCGTGGGTGCAGTGCAACAGGATCCGGCTGTCGGGTGAAACTTTATCAACGCCTACATCTCTACCTCCTCCCCACTAAATTGACCCGCAATTTTGCTTGTAAGTTCGAGGCGTCATCGTGACCAGAGCCACTGACGCCACCACACCTCGCTGTACCAACAGCGCTCTCCTCGCTGTCAGATCCCGCGGCTGTACAACATCTACAGTCGCTAACAGTAACAGCCCATGCTCTGTGGTACGGTTAGTGCCATGATTCTTAACACAAAGAAAACTTGCTCTCAGTGACATGTAATCGTCATTGATAAACTGATTGTAATGGACATGAATTCGAGGGGTGTGGGGGGGTGTAACGTTTCCACCACTCGTGCAAAGTCCGCAGTGAGTGGTCGGTCTTCCTGTGGCGCTTTCGCAGAATTTCACCTCGGCTCCACGCCAGCGCTGAGTTTGCAGCGGGCTCCCCGCACTGTTCGCCCCGGACTCCCAGCACGGGTGGCGTGCATGGCCCCACGTGTGTGAGCGTGCGTGCCCATCCGTGCATGGCGGTGGACGGGAGGTGCGGGGAGCGGTGCTCTTTGTTCGGGTCAAGCGCTGTTACACAAACAGCGACACGGTGACGGTGACATGGCTACAATTGGAAATGACCAAACCTGCTGTCCATCCAGCTCCCGACAATAGCGCTTACCCTCAACCCTACCTCTGGCCCTGAGCGCAGCCCACGTTGTGTTCACTGTTGGTGTTGACGGCACAGCCGCCGTGTTTAACTTCTGAGTTTTCCCTTGGAGGGTGGGGGGGTGGATTGACGTGAACCGTGGTTATTGTCGTCGTGGTGGTGGTGTGCTCGTGGAGGAGGGAGGAGGCGAGGCGCGATGCCGATAACGACGCTTCTGTCCGTGCGATGATGACCGCGTCGAGACCCTGACCAAACCGAAGCGAACCCTCCCGGCTCTGTGCCGGAGTGAGAAACTCAAATAAACGCGTTGAAGTAAAACCGGAAGCATCCGCTGCTTGTTCATGCCAACAACGCGTGCGCTCAGTCTCTCGGTGACCGTCGAGTTGAACCTGGTGGGAAACCTCTGCTCTTGTGCGCCAAACGCGGCCCACAGCCACATTTCATAACGCCTCCCACCCCCCACTGCATTTTTCACGACCCGCAGCCACAAAGCCTAGAATTGCAAAGCGGCCGCAAATATTTACTGTCGCTATCAGCCTCTTAGCTGCACTAATCGGGTAAATACAACTAAAGGGGGAAATATTTTTGCCCTGACAACGACGGTTTTAGCACTTGCTACCACTGCCAGGGGCCCCTTTTGGTGACCAAAGTGACCGAGGTGACTTCACCGAAAAAACCTAAGAGTATGAATCCTTGCAGTCACGAAAGCTTCAAATCTAGAATTGACAAAGGTGGGTCCGTGTTTCACGTGTGGCCCGCTCAAGGAGGCCACGTTAAATAATCAGTTAAATGAAGACACGTGACTCAAACAGCTGTGCCCTAATAGCTACACACCCAGTGAGGCTCTGAACAGCTCATTCAAAGCTGCGTTACACAGCGCACGAACGCTCCCGTATGTTCCAATTCATCACTGCCGTGATGATGGGCGTTCTTCTGGAATGTGAATAGGTTTCAATAAGGTAGTTGCATCTTATCAAACAACTTGTGGCCGACACCCAGCCCAAGTGTGTAATTCCAAGGACTCATCTCATGCCCCTTTACACGTTAGAGTGAAAACCCAGCTCGCAAAAAGGTATTCTCACCACAAACCACGATGGTTTTATTTTCCCTCGGCAAAAACCGGTTTGACCATGACCTCCACGAGGCTCGGCCTCTCCTCGTGAGCGATTAACAGGACGGTCACCCTCTGGTGGTCAACACAAGCATTGCAGTCGTCCGTTGTCTTTAAACGCACGTGTGTTAACTTAAGAGACGACGTGAATAAACATCCTTCAGCAGACTCCTGTCCGACTCTGCGCACCCGGACGGGCAAATCGATATTTACGAACATCCTTGTGTGTTTGGACACATCGAGGGGACAAGGCGCAAAAGGAGGCCCAAAGAAAACACGAATCGACATCGTCATGAGAGCATTGCACAGAGATGGAGCACACAGACCGCAGCGGAGGAGGGGACACGCACGGCCGGAAGTTAGCCACGAGATTCTGCAGCCACCACGCACCATTGTGTCGGCGTCGCCAAGCCAATAACGTGAGCTGGTGCAGTCAAATTGTTGATATGTTCTCCCTCTGTTCTGCATGGGTTTACTCCCATAGCTAAACACCCACACGCAGCAGAAGTGGTATTGGCCAAACATGCCAGTGCTGGAAAAAATACCTGCAAATTATTAAACTGGGATTACGATAACAATCATCGGTCGCTACTGCAAACACTTGGCAGGGTCATTCTGCAAAAGTGTTGAGACGCAGTGAGGCTTTCCTGGGTAAATATGCGTGAGAATAGTCAGAAGTCGACGTTTACATCCGGGTTTATTAACATCGACTTGAAGTCGCTAAACAATCCCTGAACATGGCCAGTGCTGACCGGCCAAGTGCAGTGAGCTGCGAACCAATTAAATCCCCATCAGCCAGGGCAACAGCGACTGGACGCCTGCCAGCGAGGACCGGTCACCCCACAACGGCCACGGTGACCAACACCTCCGCCCCAAATCCTCGCAAGATCCAGGCGCTGCCTTGCAGCACCACGGCGTCGTGCGACCGGCTGGGCAAGCGAGATTTGCTCACTCCTTGCCGGATGCCAGTGCGGCCTCGTGTTACCAACACCACCTGCGGGGAAACGCGGCCCAGGTAGCTGCGTGGTAGCTGCATTAGCCAGGCTGGGTGTGCTAGGCCGCCCAACACGAAGTGTAACCTCAGTTAAGGAGAACACATTTTAATGTCGCTGGCATGGCATCCCTGGCGCGTCAGTGTAGTAGCAACACCACCAGAGTGCTCACACACTGCCCTTGATATCTGTAAAGGCTTTGACTCTCACAAATAAGTTTCAAACGTGTTGGGCCAGCTCATAACAAGCAGCCTGGGTGTGTTTGCGTTAACCTTCAATACGAGTCGGTCACTGGGTTCAACATCATCCTTTTACCGTACAGCAACGACGTCGTTTTGCTCGAGCAAACGCCAATCGTGTAAAGGTCGTGAACTCTGAGATAGCGTCACGAGAGGGAGCTCGCGGTCGGGGTGACACACTCGCGCTCTGCTCTGCCACACGCTTGCGGCTCATCCTCCTGCTGCCACTCTTGCTCCTTCATCATCCTGCTGCTGCTGCTGCTCGCTCTGCTCTTCCTGCTGCTCCTGTTGCTTCTGCTGCTGCTACTGTTGCTGCTGCTGCTGTTGCTGCTCGCTCTGCTCTTCCTGCTGCTCCTGTTGCTTCTGCTGCTACTACTGTTGCTGCTGCTGCTGTTACTACTGCTGCTACTGCTGCTCTTGCTGCTCCTGCTTCTGCTCTTGCTCCATCATCATGCTGCTGCTACTGCTCGCTCTGCTCTTCCTGCTGCTCCTCCTCTTGCTTCTGCTGCTCCTCTTGCTGCTTCTGCTCCTGCTGCTGCTTCTGCTGCTCCTGTTGCTGCTCTTGCTGCTGAGCGCTGCGCACCTCCTGCTGCGCGTCGCGCTGCAGCTGCTCCATGCGCTCGAGCGTGAGCGACTTGAGGGGCAGCAGCTTGGGCTTGCACATGGCGAGACTCGGGGAGCCCTCCACGGACAGCTGCCCTGCTCCGCCACGGACAGACAGACAGGCGGACAGACAGACAGGCAGGGGGCGACACCGCGACTCGAGACCGCGACCTCCGCAGCGGACAACTCTCGGCACCGGATGCCACGGGGGGATTACGCCGCGAGGGTTCCCACCCGGTACCGTGCCGGCAAATCGCATGGACGTGCAGGAGGCGGATAACCCTCTCTGGCAATGGTGGCGAGCAGAGTGGGGAGCTGTGAACGTGGAGCCCCCACGCACCGCTGGCTAGGGGGGGGGGGGGTCCCTCGGCCCAGGGGACGAGCGGCTGAGCGCTCCCCCCCCGGGCCTCCCCTCACCTTGCTTGGGCAGCACCTCCTTGAACATCGCCCTGCGAGACGCGCCGCCGCCTCCTCCTCTGCCGCCTGTGCTGCTGCTGCGCCGCCAAGCGGCAGCACTGCGCGGTGAGGTGTTGATGGCTCTCCTTGTGCAGCAGTGGTCCCTGTGGTGGTGGTTGTAGTGGTGGTTTTGTTGTGGTATTGGTGTGGTTGTTGTGGTATTGGTGTTGTTGTGGTATTGGTGTGGTTGTTGTGGTATTGGTGTTGTTGTGGTATTGGTGTGGTTGTTGTTGTATTGGTGTAGTTGTGGTGTCGTTGTTGTGGTATTGGTGTCGTTGTTGTGGTATCTGTGGTGGTTGTATTGGTGGTGTTGTTGTGATATTGGTGGTGTAGTTGTGGTGGTATTGGTGTAGTTGTTGTTGTATGGGTGTTGTGGTATTGGTGGTGTGGTTGTGGTGGTTCTTGCCGTTGTCTCGCGGCTACCAACGTCTCTCGCGCGCGCACGGATTGGCCAACACCCGCCACGTGACGGGGAGGGTCCGTGGCGGCTTCGCCGCGTGATTGGTGGAGATGATCCGAAACTCCTCCCCCCTCCATGGCGCGCCCCGTTGCCGTGGAGACGGTGGCGCGCGCCGTCCCCGAGGGAACAGCGGCCACGTGACGCGGCCAAAGCGCGGGAAATGGATTCGGATGATGGTGACGTCACCGAGTGGGGGGGGGGGGAGCGCGTTTTATTCTCCCCCTCGCAACGTTACAGTACAAATATAAAATGATAATTGTTTTTTTACCCTTTTATCTGGCAACAATACTGACATCTTTTTTTACGAGGAATCATGTTTGCATTGACCACAATACCTGCAGTCGGAATGCACCTTTTGGCGTCATCTGGTCCAACACCAAGTGAGACTCGGCTCTAAGGAAAGCTGTCTCGAGTGTGGACCAATCAACTTCAAGGACAGTGCACATCACTATCATACATTATCAGAGTTGTGTTTTTTGTTTGCATTATGACCGCAGGTATTGTGATCAATGCAAACATGACTCCTTGTAAAAAAAAAGGTGTCAGTTTTGTTGCCAGATAAAGAGGTAAAAAACAATTATCAAATTTTGCTACTGGCAAATGAGGTTGCAATGGGGTTAAAATATAAAATCGGTGACGTTTCGGGCAATTGCCCTTTTTCATGGCATGTAGAGAGGCCAGTAGATAGACAGAGTGGCGGTAAGACTTGAAAACTGCATTTGTGGCCTGAGGAGAATGACATCTAAAGCAAGTTTCCTGATGAACAGTTCTTACATTGGGGTATTAATTAGCCCCGGGCAGTGGGCAGTGAGGGGTCTACAGGACGTGGCTTGTCAAGTTGATCTCTCCGAGTGAGTTTCCCAAGTCTCCGCCTGAGGTCACGCCGCACAGACGGCGCCCACTCCCCTCAGCCACCACGGCGAGTGCGCGTTGGCGATGTCCGCCCACGACTTCGTGTTGTTTATTAGATCAGCGTCGTCCCCTTACAGGCGGAGCGGGGGCGAGGAGCGGGGGTGGGGGACACGTGGAGACGCGAGACACGTGGGAGACAGACAGCTCCACGTGGAGACAGCTCCACGTGGAGACAGCTCCACGTGGAGACAGCTCGACATGAGAGACAGCTCCATGTGGAGACAGCTCCACGTGGAGACAGCTCCACGTGGAGACAGCTCCACGTGGAGACAGCTCGACATGAGAGACAGCTCCACGTGGAGACAGCTCCACGTGGAGACAGCTCCACGTGGAGACAGCTCGACATGAGAGACAGCTCCATGTGGAGACAGCTCCATGTGGAGACAGCTCCACGTGGAGACAGCTCCACGTGGGAGGCGAGATCCACGTGGAGACAGCTCCACGTGGGAGACAGCTCCACGTGGGAGACAGCTCCACGTGGAGACAGCTCCACGTGGGAGACAGCTCCACGTGGAGACAGCTCCACGTGGGAGACAGCTCCACGTGGAGACAGCTCCACGTGGGAGGCGAGATCCACGCGGCGACTGGGGCTGGGGGACGGCAGCGAGCCCGAGACTCGGATGCCCAAACACAC